TGTTTTGAAACTTATTTGTTAATGTTGACAAAACTTAACAAAAGTAATTATGCAACTAAATAGAAAATATGTCTCAAAAAGTATTTCGTATAAAATACAAAATGCATTATAGAAAAATGGTATCTAAATACAAAATAGAAGATATTGCCTATTTGCATTTTAAAAGCAAATATATAAAAAAAAAACAAATCCTGATTGCTTATTACAATCTTCATTTATTGTAATTGTAATGAAAATGAAATAAATGTACATGAAATTTATGACTTTTGAAAATTATATAAAATCATCTGATTTGGAAATTGGACTATGATGATCGCGAGATAGCGATCGTAATATTCATCATCATCATCAGCTCCTTTACGTCCTCACCTTCCTTTTGGATGGTTAAGGCGGACGGGCAAAAACCCCCCATTTTGGCCCAATGCTGATTGGAGCCTGTAGGTTATTAACGACTGCATATGCAGCCGGGACCAACTGCATAAAGTGTCTTCTAAAGCATGGAGAAGCTTGAGATAATAATTTTTTTGTCACCCATCTCGTGACGCGAAATTTGGCTGCGGTGCTAGTTCACTACGTCAACGAGCTATTCGTTATTTTAGATAATAATAATGTATTATTTAATTAACCTAATTTAGGCAAAGGGTATATGTAAATTCAATGGTTATATTGTTAGCAGGAGTTAACATTATGGATGAGCGAACTTTAATTCTCTGTGTTAATTTTAATAACTTATATAACATTTCAGACCTAATTTCTCCAAGACCCTTCTCTTGTCTGACTTTAAAATTTAGTCTAACATTCACTTCGAAGTTTGTTGTTAGGGCGCTTTGAATTACCAAGAATATCACAAGTGTCAAAGAAGTTGTCTTACTTATCAATCATTCGACATTCTACACATCTACATACATTGAGTCTGAGCGGAGTTTTAGGTAACACAAATATATATTGAAGCAATATTTAAAAAGGTACATAGATAAACACTTTATTGTTAACACCAAATACAAAACAGTCATAGATAAAAAAAATACTTTAGCTATGTCTTAGAAACGGCGGTCTTATCTCATATGTATCATATAAATATTCCAGATAAACTTTAGTTAGAGAGATAAACTAGATTTTTTAAGTTTCTATCAAAATTGTTAACACTTTTCCTATTAATTTGTTAACACTTACTAAGATAACTGTCGATTCACCTTCGAATTTATAAACGATGCATAGATTTTGCTTAGAGCTCTTAATATTTTTATACTGGTTTAATAAATTCAATTCGTGGTGCATAATTATATCGCAGCCAAGTCGTCAAATCAACTGTCTAATTGGGTGGCTAGCCCTTTAATTGCTCCATTTAATTAACGGGTTGATATTTGATTAGCTGACTAGCTGAACGCAGCTTTCATCAATACGGCTAAACAAAGGTCAGCCAACTAATTAACTGCCAATTCATCAAGAATACCATAATTTATTGGAAGGATTAGAAGTAAAACAAAAAAAATAGAATAGATTGGGTCATTTTAAATAAAACTCAAAAACTCCTTGATACGATTTGTAATCGTAACAGATAAGACCAAAATATGATTAAAAAAAACAGTTTATTTGCGACTGGGTGTTAGTTAATGATCTGTATAATCCAATCCAGGATGCTAACGTACAGTAGACCATTAACACGAGAGGGTTAAGCTTAAACTCTTCATAATAAATTCTTAATACTAATACAATTATTCAAAGAAAATATTAATACGGCCACAGTGTCATTTATCGAACACGAGAACAATTTATATGATTGCAATTGTTTATTATGATTTCGAAGTTTGGTGCTACAAACAATATAATCTAAATATATATTACTCAAAGGTGACTGACTGACATAGTGATCTATCAACGCACAGCCCATACCACTGAACGGATCGGGCTGAAATTTGGTATGCAGGTAGATGTTATGACGTAGGCATCCACTAAGAAAGGATTTTGATCAATTCTACCCCCAAGGGATAAAATAGGGGATGAACGTTTGTATGAAACTTTGTCAATTTTAAACTGATCGGGCTGAGACTTTGCATGCATTAAGCTACTATGACGTAGGCATCCCCTAAGAAAGGATTTTCATAAATTCCACCCCTAAGGGGATAAAATAGGGGATGAAGCTTTATTTCAGGTATTTTATACGATATAATTAATAAATATGCGTTAGAAATGTTGTTTAAAGTAACTTTACCACGTGAACGAAGTCGCGGGCAAAAGCTAGTTATAGACAAAGAAGTTATTATGGTCCTGTGAGTCACGTAATAAGTTAAAAAATTAAAACAATTGCTAAGCGTAACGCAGTGATCATCTTAAATATCGAGGTTTTTTTTATTAGGAAATAAAACTAAATGACTCTTTTGGTCGCTTTTTAATCAGCCGTCGCGATGAACGGCCCAAATATTATAATGATTTAACTAATAAACTAGGTGCAACTGAATGGTGACATTCAATAGGAATGACAACTAGTTTTTGTTTGTTAGGTAGATTGTTGAAAAATATTAAACACGTATTTTTTATTTTTTCGTAATTATTAAATTACGGCGATACATTGTGTTAAAATTATCACATGAGATCACGCTTTTTTACATTTTCTATAAAACTGTGACGTAGCGAGCCTCCACTCCAAAACTTTAGTGCCTGTTATCTAAGCTATTTCTTGTTAAATTGAAGTAAAAATAAAACCTATTTAAGATTTTTCTATTATCTGACTGACGGACTAAATAGATTTTTTTTCTATTTCTTTTTATAACTAGCCGCCCAATTGAACGACTGATGTAACCAGTTGGATGCGACACATAAATTTCATGTTTGTAAAAAATGGAATACCAATGGAATTTGAAGATGCGATTTACTAACTTATTTGATTTATTTTCTTTATATTCCTAATATTGCACCCACCTCTCACATTACCCATATCATCATCGTTTTCACGATTGGTTGAGAAGACATTGCTGTTTAGCAATAAGGTCGCCCTTTGTGTTCTTTATTTCTTCTTTATTATTATGCAATATGCTGTGGTTACACAGCGGTGATGTATTGAGTGCAATAAAGTGTATTATTATTATTTTTACAGACAATTATTTAATATAATAATTGTTACAAACGTATAACTGATATCATCATACAGCTAAAGAAAATATGATAAATATAAAGGAAAATGCCATTCGGCAGAATAGATTTCTCCTTTTGAAGTTTTGCCAACGAAAGTCAGGAGAAATAATAACAATAAATAAATATTAGTCAACATCACATATAAATGTATTGATATCAGATCCCAAAATAGGAAGCTAAAGCTATTACGTTATCTGAAACAGGAAATTCGAAATAACTACAAAACTCAGACCCAAGACAAATATTGAACTAGTTAAAGAATTGAAAATAAAATAATGTAAAAAAAAATATATATAATTTACTAATCGCTAGCTTGCTCGGATCAGCTTGACATGGGTAAGAAATTTCCTATCCAATTATTTTCACTCGTATCTATCGAGAGGAATAATTACTGGCGACGATGTTGTAATTTAAGCTAATATTTTTAACAAATAAGCAAGAATTTGAACGAAGTAAGAACTCTCAAAAGTTAGAATACTATAATGGGTAGTTTACTAGTTTGTCCATTGACAGTTCTTACTTCAATTAAATACTTATCTATTGGGTGAAAACAATTATTTATCTCGACTCTCGACGAGTGTTGGTTGAAGCCGCATCGTAATATGTTATGTGCTGTTATGTTTTGCTGTGTTGTTTTGTGTGTTGTGCTGCTGTGTGGCATCTTTACCCCGTTCTGTGGGTAAAAACGGATGGAGTGTAAGTTACGGGGCACTGAAGAAAAGACAGAATATTTCTGATCACAGTTCTAATCTTACTTGATCAAATATTGTTGCCAATGTCCTATACGATAAAATCGATAAGTGACTGATTTACGAAACAAAGATTTATTTTTCAGATTTTTAAGTCTTTTTTTTTTTGATGCCTTGTTATGTATATTTCAACGGTTACAGTAGCACCGCGCGTTTTGGGTTAGATGTAACTGATGTTTTTATAAGGAACGGGTGGTTCTTAAGAAAAGTTTACTGGCGTCAGATCAGAGGCATTATTTTTCTCACTGTAAGTGTGAACACCAAAATAAACTGTGTAATTAACGATCAAAATCTAATCGGCATATTTTATTACATTACTGGCCAATCAAGGGAGTGCACTGTTATTATGGTAATTATAGATTTAACATTTGTAGTAAGAGAATAAAAAGGCCATGGATCTGCTAAAGAAAACTCAGGAATCACTCTAACATTGTTATTATTATTAATAAACTATGTTTAGCGTTGGATTAAATTTACCCTGAAACTGCACTTAATATTACTAAATGTTCACATTTTTAAACAGAGACCTAGCAAAGGTTAACCTAGTACGAGGTTCTAGGGGAGTAATATTTATTCCTAGAAGGTAGTAGGTTTGCTTATTCTCTGTATAATATGAATTTGGACTAATACTAAAATTGCAATTTTAGCATAAATTTACTCCGACGCTAAACCTCGTTTATTAATAGAATTGTAAAAGCTTGACAGAGACTTTAATTTCCACTCAAATGTTTAAAATATTTATAATAATCCAGAAACTTTAATTTTATCGTAATTACAAAAGGCACATATTTACTTCTATTTTTATAATAACTAACACCTATCACACCAATGTTATATAGTTTAATCATATACACAATAATATGTAAGTTTCAAATAAATATTATTTATTTTGGAAATACAATACACTTGTATTGTACGAAACAAATTGAGGTTTTAGTTATTGTTATAAAAACCAGTAACTTAAATAATCACTTCTCGTATATGAAAGTAAGTAAGATTTTCATAAAACAAACTTTAGTTGTCGAGTGTCTCTAATAGTGATTAAAGAGTGAGTGCTGAAACCATTCATAAAGCTCCCATCCCGTCGTCTGCGAACTAAAACTTGCTGAAACTCTTTTCAGTTATTCGCGGACGGTCTCAGTGGGAGGATGTACATTCAATGCCCTCCAAGCGATTCGCGATACCGACGTCGCTATTAAAATTATAGTTGTAGAACTCTAAAGCTTTAATATAATATTCTGAAAAAGTTAAAATTGACTTTTTGAAAGTGAAAGCGTGTGGGTAATCGATATTTAAAATCGATTTAACAAATAGAACTTCTCTGCACTTACTTAAAGTTTTAGAATTAAGAACTAAGTCCATGGTTGAGAATTGTAAGACTACCTCATAAATAGTTTACAATTGTTTGTTAATCTTTAGAATTTTAGGTACTTATAATAAATATCAAACTTTAGCTAACTAATTTATGGCTTAGTTTGTGTTTTTCTTTTTTCTGTTAAAACTAATGGTACCAAATAATTTTTATAATATAAAACGTTTACATACGTAAGTAATCTGAATATTTTATATTTATAGTCAAAATATAAACAAGACATTTTTTATTGGTAGACTTGATTAATGCAAACCTATACGCTTTATAATGTTAGGAACGTTAATTGTTTTTACCAAAGATTAATAACTAGAGCTAACAAGAGAATGTCGTGCTCTAGATAATTAGTATCAGGGGCGCTTATTATACTGCATTATCTTTTATCATTACTCATTAAAACTTATGGGTAAATATTAAAACTGAAAAGACTTAGGCGTGTCTGACTGATATTATATGATGTTACTATTATTAACAATAATGAGTTTCAAGCTCAAATTAGGAAGGTTATCATAATGTCTCAAATTTCGCTGTGATTGTAAAGATTATAGTGATATAATAATTAGAATATTTATATTATATATCGATATCTGTATTATGTTTTTAATTTTACCGAAAAATTTTAGATTTGTGAGTAATTTTTTTGTTTGTGTTTTGTTAATTTCTACTAGAGCTTTGCCCAGATTTTCTCTTCCAGCTTATATAACACTGCGGCATTGCAGGTTGTTTTATTCCAGTGATTTAAAATTTTGTTTATTACTTTTCTTCACCTTCACATTTACCATCCAAATAGATGTCAATGTTATTTTGTTTGTTGCGACTTCACAAAACTTTGCAATATTAATACTTTTTTGTGAACAGGTTAATCTGCGCTACGTAAAAATTATTTCGTCTACAATACCTATACCGATTTCCTTTTGATTTTTTACGATTCTGTTATAATATCAAACATATTTGCTTTATAAACATTTAAAATTTATTATATTTAAAAAATCGTTGAACATACAACATGGTTTCGAGTATTCCAGATGTCTTCAAATCTCCAATATAAAAAACGGACATTATCTTTTGAATCGCCTTGTATATATTTTTATTTCTGTACCTATATGTAGATTACTTTTTGTTTTGTTTTTTATGCAAAGAATAAGGAGAGAGTCTCAATCAAAAATCGTTAATTTTAACTGAGTCTGAACAAAGAAATAGTTCAATGAAGCTGTAATAAAAAAATGTGAAAGCTACTTATATGTATAGGGTACAAATGCAACTAAATTGAATTGATAAATTTTTCTCGAAAGGAATTCCTCATTTATTTAGTTTGTTCTCGTAATTACTAAGTTCGTCTCGGTTCGCTTTGTAAGAGAGCGCGTACATCCAATATCATTAACTTTCAACTTGTACACAGTAAGAAGGTTTCTGTCGCCGCCAAAATGTGAATTTATAAGATGTTCTGTAAAAAAAATAATACAAAGTTATTCCTTGTTACAATAATACCGTTTTATAGGGAAAATTTATGAAAATATAAGTCTAATTTATTAATTATTAATTTATGAAAATATAAGTCTTATTTAAATAATATAATATAATAGAAAATATAATTTATGAATTATTCAGCAATTTACAATTATCGTTATGGTTTGGACAATGCAATTAGCCATACTCTATCTTTATCTATCTCATTGCCGCAATGTGATGAACAGGGACAGTCGTTTGATCGTACTTTACGCTCATTTATAGGTTATAACAATGATTTGATGGTTTAAATTAATTATTAAGATAATCAATGTATTTGTTAGTGAAATACGAATTAAAAGAGCCTTTTAATTCGTATTTCACATTTGCAATTGGTGGAATAATCGACTGGAGTGTTGTTGCATCAATTGCATCTATTTAAAGAAAAAAGAAAGGCAGCATATATAATGGGCGTTTACATTGTGCGTGTTTGTTTTAATTATTTATGTTACAAATGATGCACAGTACATAAATTAAACACAAATTCATATTTTTCTACTTGTTAATATAAAATTATGTTACTATTGTTATAGATAAAAGTATATTCATCATGATAGAATCACAAATAAGTTATTTTAATCTAAAAGAAAATTAAGGAAGTTAAGGATTCTCAGTTAAGTGCCACGTGCTTTAACTAATAGGCAAACATTTCGGTCTTTATGGACATGAGTAATTACATATACTTTATAATTGTAAAGTAAAAGAGATTCTGGTTATCTATCATTTGAAATTGGTTCTAAAAATTATGTCACGTAAAAAAAAGTTGAAATTCATTTGTAGTGATGTAACAGAACTTTCAAAACCATTTATACTTATCGATACTCTTATAAAGAGAAAAGATTTAATAGATAAATGAATACTTAAAAAAAAGAACTTTTTGATTACGTGCTAGACTCGAACGAGCGACCATTCCCTATTCGATCACGTCACCTCATCGACATTCAATGACTTGATTTATAAATTATTAAAAATAGCTGTGTTCCCGTGACTTTGCATGTTTAAATTTTAGCCTATATCAACCCCGTAGGATGTAGCTTCCAGTAAGTGAAAGAATTTTTAAATTTATCCAGTAGTTTTGGAGCCTATTTGATGCAATAGATAATGGAAATGATTTTTAAGGAGACACCCTATCTACTAATATAACACCCTATATACTAATATTCGATCACGTTCGTAGTGGACACAATTCGTAATATATTAACCAAACGTTTCTGATGAAATTAAGATAAAATGCGAGTTATGAATTGCTAACATAAAAGCAGTTTTAAGCAGGGTCGAATTAACCCTCAGCTATCAGCTAAGAAAACTCTTCAATAAAGTATCCCTATAGATATTTCAGCGAGACTCAATTTCATTCGCGTGACAAGTGTTTAACTGTATCACTTAGTATTAATTTTAATTTAAAAGTAATATTTGCAAAGAAAATTTTAAGAAAGGATATTGGCAAAGGTATTTTACAAGCAAAATGCTGCTTTTTAAGTTATCATGATCAGCTCTGTTACGTCCCCATGGCAGGGGCTCAGGCCTTCCTTTTGGATGGTTAAGGAGGATGGGCGATGTCACCCGCGCTGGCTCAATGCGGATTGAAGGTTATTAATTACTACAAATGCAGCCGGGACCAACGGCTTAACGTACCTTCCGAAACACGGAGTAGCTCGAGATAATATTTTTTGGTTATCCATCCCGTGATCGACCCTTACCAAAGTTGGTTAGCTTAACCACTACGTCACTGAGCTACTCCTAAGCTATAATTTTTAAGTGCAATAATTAATATTTATAATAATTAAATGAATGACTGGTTTACTGACTGACTAATCTATCAACGCATAGCTCAAACTACTAGTCGAATAAAGCTAAAATTTGGCACACTCATAATTATTATGATAAAAATTATTATTTTTCAAACCCTTATTTAATAAGGGCTAAATAAGGGTTTGAAAATCATGTAACAGAACCAGGTACAGCTGAGCAGGAAAGCTAGTTTAAAACTACAGTAAATTTTTATCCGTAACATTGTTACATTGTTTGTGTAGTTGTTCATCATCATTATTAGCCCGTTTTCGTCCACTGCTGAACATATGCCTCTCTAAGTGCACACCATCGAACTCGTTTTTCGGTTACTCGCATCCAGTTTCTGCCAGCCACCTTGCGAAGGTCGTCTTTCCACCTTGTGTGAGGGCGTCCCAATACTACGCTTACCGATCCGCGGTTTCCACTCTAGAGTGTGTTTGCCCCACCGGCTGTTAGTTCTATGGCTAATGTGGCCTTCCCATTGTCACTTCAACTTGCTGATCCGATGGGCTATATGGATTACTGTGGTTCTATGACGAATCACCTCATTTCGGATTCGCTCCTTCAGAGAAACTCCGAGCATAGCCCTCTCCATAGGTCGCTGAGTGACTTTTATCTTATGGACAAGTCTTACTGTAAGTGACCACCTTTCGGCTTCCTTTGTCATAACAGGTAGGATACTCTTTAGACTTTGCGGAATAGATAACGCGAAGATCTGACGATATTTACCAAAAGTTGTCCATCCTAGCTGTATTATTCTATCGATCTCTTTTTTTCAAGTTGTTTTTATCCAACTGCACTGTTTAATAATACATATAAAATGTCTAGAATAATAAATTTTATTTTTTATTCACGGAACACTGGCGTTGTTTATGTCCGGGCAACACTGGTTCCAACGCTCTCTTCCGTTAACTGAATGATCGAGTGTAAACGTGCAATATTTAAAAAATTATTTTAAATACAAAATAGTATAAAATTCTACTGCATTTTACATTATTCTACATGCAGTAAGTGGTCCCTCTCAAATATAAACGCGATAGTTTATTTTACGGATAAGAAATCGGCAAATTTTACTTTGAGTGCAATATCAGCGGCTAGTCGGACGGCGGCCCCTCAATTGGATCCCGCTTATTTCATGAGAATTTCATATTTCTCCGAAAGAAACACTGTCTGTTGTAAGGAGTAAGACGAAGCATCAGGATATTTCTTAGATTATATTTGCCCAAGGTAAACATATTCTTGAACACCTTCTAGGACACTGCCAAACAAATAATGAAGTTGATCTCATTTTTAGTTTTGCAATCGGGGCTTCGCCATGTCCACTTTCTTTGAGGTTTTCCCCCATAACAACGTTGTAGTAGGCCTTTGTGGTGGAGAGTAAGGTTCTAGATATGTCTTCGAAAGAATCTTTCAATTTCATTGTCTGAGTGTGCCGAGGTTATATATACCCTTGAGATTATACCTCTTAGAGAGCTTAATTATGAGGTACGCAATCCTATTTGAGACACTGGAGATTTCTACGACGCTGTCAGAAAGGGTTTTGTTCACTAGGAACCCTAAACCACCCTGGGATTGCTGGTTATCCTCTCGAAAGTAAAAGACATGCCCTGATTTCAGGGTTATGGGGTGCTCTCCCTCTCTTTGGACTTCGCATTACCCAAGGATGTGCCACTTATCCATCCAAATTCTTCTTCTAGTTGCGTCAGATGTTCGTCGAGCCGTAACGTGTGTCTATTGTACGTCTCCAGAGGTAGCCTTCCGCAACCTGGGGACCCTACCGTATCGTTATCATGACCATCACCTTGATCAGGAATTGCAGCGCGGCCGGGAGCTAGGGTCCTCAATTGGTTCTGTGCAGCCATAGAGGTATTTGCCCATAATCGCCATGCTGAGCATGAGTTTTGGTGATCGTAGGGCCCAGTCTTTGCACTGATGATGTTGCTGCCCGTCCCTAGCCTGACGTATTTAGTGAGCTGCTTCTTAATATATAGTTATTCCGCCATCAATTGGTTTACCAGACCCCGTCCGTCAATTGTCAGGATCTTAAAACAGATTTATATACAAGCTATTTATGGCTGAACATAAAACTAATGAAAATATGAAAAAAAGTGACGATGGGCATGGCGTATTGCGGAAAAAAGTAAAAAATAAAAAATACTCTGAAACTGTTACACCATAATTGTCATAACCAAATAACACACTTTAGGCCTCAGTTATAAAGTGATTCACAAAGTCAGCTTTTTATTAAGATAAAGGAATCTAATTACGAGAAATTGACGCTCATAAAAAGAAGTTATCCTGTAATTATTGTCGAGAGAATTTTATAAAGTTATATTTCTGTGCCCTCACTTACAAAATGACGAAGTGTTTTCGTTTGATTACAAATTGCTATACCTATATTGTTTTGTTCACACTTTTTTAATAAAAGAGATTTAGCTTATGCATCAAGCTTAACGCTTGTGGTCTTTATTTGCACCTATAGTATGATTACTTAACAACTAGATGTAAATATTATGGCATTATGTATTATTGTAGGCGTATTGATTGCTTAGGGTTTAAAAATACAAAAACACTAAAATTGTATCATCATCATCATCAGCCATTTTACGTCCCCACTGCAGGGGCTCAGACCTTCCTTATGGATGGTTAAAATTGTATGTCGACGTATTTTTAAGTGCACACAGCATATCGATGTGCACTCATAATTTTAAACTTTCACGTTCTTTTCAGTCATGTTTTCTTACTCTTAGGCTTGTTTAGAACAAAATCAATGAAGTTTATCATAAAAAACAATTAATAGACTTTTTAAAAACAAGCGTAAAATCATTTGTTAAATAAAAAGTATAAGAGTTTTAAAATAACAGTTTGAAAAGTTAAATAAGATTTATTATAAATAAATATACAAAGATTTCAAACGAGTAGGACGTTTAACTAAGAAGTTGGCTAGGAAACAATATTTTTCAAAGATTCTATTGTCATGATTGTTATGATGAAAATTAACGTTGATATTCAAAACGATGTTTGTCTTAGGGATGCTTTTAATGTTTTGGGTGTTTATTTCTATTTTTGCTGGCAGAATGACAATGATGAATGGAAGTTCGAAGAATAATTACAGTGGTTCCGATTTGTCACTCTCAGTAGTTGGAAATGGGTAAAATACAAATATTCATACTTAAATTAGGCGTTATCTAGCGTTTATTTGTATGTGTATTAGTCACGGAAATAAGCTTACAATGTAGGATAGCCAATGACAATGAACTGATAATATACTAAACAGAATTTTAAAATAAAAACTGGTAATTTTATGAATTCAGAATAAAAAAGTGCTTATTGCTGTTTAAAATGTCAAAGAGAAACTAAAGTGCAGAAACTAAATATTCAATTCATGAGGATGATGTGTGCGTGTTTAGTGAAAAGGACCGCGTGACAAGATGTGCAAAACCGTAAAGACTGTCGCGTGGGAGACGGAGACCCTGATGGGTACACCGCCGAAGTCTAAGTGGGATACTTTATGTCCAAGAGCAGCATTATCTCACGTGGGACTATTCGTGGCACTGATGCTGTACACCGCAGGAGGTGGATTAGTAAGTGAGCCTTTTACGTATTTATTTATTTATTTGAACGCTAAAGCGTCAGTTAAATCTTGTCGGCTTCGTTCTTTAATTTTAAAACCAATGTGGTCGGTTATTAGTAATTTACTACTAATTACCGACCACGTTGGTCGGTAATTAGTAGTAAATTTGCCCCGTTCCAAGTGTCCTGGAAATGTATGAAATCCCGCGTTAGACTAGAAAAATCTAATACCCCAACTTTTGTTGTAAATGAAAACCGTTTGTCTCGCGAATCCAAGGAATTCCATGTCTTTCCGTGAATTTATGTCGCTCGTAGATTTGAACCGTGTCGACTAGTATAACTGAGCCATGGTTTTTAACTATTGTGCCGCAACAAAGACATTTGAATATACTTTAGAATTAACTTAAAGTTAGGAACAGCTGAACTCGTTAAACCTTTTGGAGATAAATTGGAACATTGGATTGCATTATATTAAATAGTCAAATAACTTGTTCCTCTTTCTCTAACTTTTAACCATCATGAATTAATTCAATTATCGCAATCTTGTATATATTTACAAGGTTTTAAAAAGAAATGTTTTGTTTTTCCTCAAAACATTTTTAGATTTAATATGTGTGAAAGTTCAATAAAATAAATTCCCTATTTCAGGGTTCATTTAGGAATAGGAATTAGTTTTGACAGATAGTTTCATGGGAAAAAAGAAGTTGCATTTACAGTTTTAATTTTTTTTTGTTTCTTTATATTTTTCCATCTTTAATTAAGCTCAAAATTAATAAAATCAGTCCCTTGTTTGTAATGAGACTAAAAAACTTTAAATCATTTTTATAATATATGTAATAGCTGTTTGCTCACGACTTATAATCATTGTATGATGCACCCTCGTATGATGTAGTGTCCGTAGGTGAAAGAAAATTTAAAATTGGTCCAATAGTTTCGGAGCCTATTTAATCCAAACAATCAAATCGTTCCTTTTTAAAATAGTATACTTACTCATACATTAATTTGAAGTTAAAACTTGAAAAATTAAAATGATATAAATGGGGTCCAAAGCCTTTTATATGCCCTATAATATAAGTGCCGTGTAGGCAAAGATTGCTAAGTATTTCTTGATTATTATTGTGACTTCACAGTATTCCGGTAAGGAAATAACGAAGGCCGGATTTTCGGCACATAAATCCTGGGCGGTAATAGAAGGATTACAGTATTAAACGACATTTAAACATTCTCCATTGAATTTTAGGTTCCAAATGTACCTATTTCAAATAGCAATATTTAACTTAATACGTAAATGTTGATGGAATTACCTGAAAAGCGATAAAGTAAAAAACTTGCCGACATTTACACATTTAACAAATCATTATCCCGACCCGTACACCTACTAGATTTTCTCAGTGGGTGGCCATAATTGACCCATTTTATATAAAAAAATTGACAATCCTATATTGATATTTATCTTATACATCATGTATAGTTAGGTTTCGAACCCATAATTTTTCGTAATGCTGGCAACTGCTCAACCATTAAGATACCAGAGATCTAGCAAGACTGAGAAATTTCATACGCAATTGTTACTTTCTCTACTAGTAAGCATATATCAGTGTTCTGATAATACACGTTAGCAATCGAAAGAAATACCTATTTTGACTAATATCTCTTAAAGTTTAGAATATGATAAAATTGTGTTCTAAATATAATTTTTAATTAATTATGCAATCATAATGATAAAGCTACTACAAATGAAACAATAAATTAGTAAATACATACTTTATTAATAATATTCCAAGCATCTATTGACGATATGATGAAGTTGACCGAGAACAGTGGCTAGAACTTACATGCTCACTCACACATTCATGAATTATTAAACAAATAAATTACTTACTTTCCAGCATTTTATAGACTTCTATCTTAAAACAAAATAATTCTTATGAAACTAATTTTATTAAGAAAAAATAATCCTTGTCAAATCAAACCGTACGTCATTAAAGGGCATTTATTTGGTAATTATACGCATAAAACGAGAATTATTACTTAAACAATATCAGAGTTAAAAATCTTTGAATTCTTCTTCGAAAAGACAAATCGGACTTTCTTTAATCATCTCCGAATCGTAATAATCGAAATTAGTAGTGTCACTGGGTGAACGTATTTTGGGTATAAATGGTGGAATGATGCGACCATTCAAAAGGCTATCCCAGTCGATCTCTTTGAACCATTTGTGATTTTTTAGATCAAGAATACCATCTTTGAGATTTCCATAGCGTCGCGCCATCTCTGTTTGCAGCAGATGCGACAACAACTCCTTCACTTCATAAGAAAAATGCGTTGGACATTTATATTTTCCTGACACGATTTTTTCATAAGTTCTCATTTGATCGCTGGAGTAAAATGGCGGATAACCTGCACACATTTCAAAAACTAGTACTCCAAAAGACCACCAATCAACAGCTTTTCCGTAACCCTTACTTAAAATTATTTCCGGTGCTAAATATTCAGGAGTACCGCAAAGAGTCCAAGTACGGTTTTTTAGAATCTTACAAAAGCCAAAATCGGTAATTTTGATATAGCCGCCCCGGTCTACTAAAATATTTTCCGGTTTTAAATCACGGTAAACTAGATCACAAGAATGCAGATACTCCAAAGCTAACAATACTTGGCCAGCATAAAATTTGGACAATGTTTCTTCAAATTTTCCCATTTTACGAAGATGTGTGAAAACTTCGCCTCCAGCTACAAACGGTAAAACGAAATACAAATAAACGTTGTCTTTAAAAAAGTATTTCATGTAAACTACAAAAGGAAAGTTGAGTGCACATAAAATTCTTTTTTCTGATAAGCTATGCTCAATTTGTTTGTACTTTACTACTTTTGTTTTTTCTAACATCTTCATTGCATAGTATTTCGAGGTTACTATATGTTTTACTAAGTATACAACACCAAATGCTCCTGTACCCAAAATCCTGTTCATTTCGAAGTCTTCTAATTTGGCGTTACTTCCAGATCTTTCCTGCCAAGATTCTAAGAAATCTTCATGTAATTTTTGTAAATATTGATCGTACTGTGCCTGCTTCGACTGAGGGTAACCACCTGCATTGCGCGGAGACATCATACGACGCTTTATTGCATCTGTCATTTTTGAGAATTCTATGTGGATATCAATTGAAATTCTTCTGTTACTAATTATTGCGAATTTTTGTTTTGATAATAAAGTAACTTGGTTTTATTTATTAAAAGTAAGGATTCCTCTTCGGTAAAAGCAGTCAGCTAAAATGAAGTATCATCTGCAATTCAAAAAAGCACATCGAAGAGTAAAGTATACAACAGGAAAAAGTGGAAAAAGGGGTAGTGAACAAAGAAACGGGAAAAGAGCAAATTTGCAATGAGATTTTGGATGAAGTATCTATAGTACAAAATCTATAAAGAACGATGAGAAAAAAGTAAAGACTATGTAACAGTATTTATAGTCTTACCATAAACAGTGTTACATAGAAAATCAATACTTTTTATTGAACGTAACATTAACTACTATTACAATGTATTAGTTTAATACATTGATATAAAGCCATAAAAAATATATAGCTTATTCGAATTGGTCTTCATTGGCTGGAATTACAGTTCTTTAAACGTTGAGGTTGATACCCGATGATAGAAAGGGTATAGAGAAAGACCAGGGAGCTTTTAGATCACATGAGTTTATTTACCACCAAAAATATATACTTTATAAAATACAAACAGCGCCGACAATAGCTTTACGAAGAGTTACTTTCAATATATAATAACAATAGACGCGCATGTGCAGAACAGATTGTCAAAATGTCAATATTTAAATTTAAATTAATTAAAAATATCTTAAACCAAGAAGGTCTCCCTCAACAGAGGTCAGTTATCAATAGACGCACGCAACATTTCCATGAGATAATTTTTGACTGCCAATATTATGGAGTGTTTTAGGGGCTCCATATTATCATGGCACTTAGAGCAAGCCTCTCTCAAACCGACCATAAATCATAATACCCTGGGCATTAAAATCTGGACTAGATAACGGTCAATCTTGAGCTCTGATTAAGTCTGGAACTTTCATTTCTAGTCAAGATTGGGTGGAACAAGCTTTATGACCTGGCGAGTCTTGCTGAAAGGACAATTCTTTGTAATTGAATATGGTGTTGAATATCCCACCAAACCATCACTGAAGTGGGATAATGCACACGTTGTACTCTGTTGACTAATCGTGAAGTTAAAAGTTAAAATATTGCTTAAAAAAAATCTCATCCATAAACAAAATATTTCTGTGACTGGTTTCATTGTACCTATCAATAGTCCGGTACACAAACATTCGACTAAATACCAAGCGTATGGAGGTTTTGGTTTTGATAATTGTGTTTGGTTCCATACCTACTTTGTGTAATCACAGCGATGCGCTTATTTTTTATGTATTGGCGCGAAAATAAGAAAAGACAATAAACAATAATTTACAAATGACAGATTCGAAATTCAAAAGTAAAATTTAATTGTAACAGTTTTCATGGCCAGATTAAGTATTTTAACATTTTAACGAAAGAAAGATACAATACCATGATGAGTTTATGATGAGCATAAACTTATAATAAGTTAAGGTTTTGTGCAAACTGACGATATTACGAAGATATTAGTTCAATATATTGGAAAAAATTTAGCTAATCGGGAGCCTCAAAAACGCTGCTAAAACCTTCTGAGTTATAACAAAAGATTGTACCTCTTTAATAGATCTATAAAAAAGTTCGCGATGGTATGTCTATCTTTTAAGGGTATTATTAATAATAATAATAATACTTTATTGTCATCATTATGTTAAATTATTATGTTAACATTATATTATCATAGTTTTTTATCAAGTAATTACATAGTTTTTGCATATCATAATTCCTATTAGAGCTGGTGAGTTTCTTGCTCGTTCTTCTTATCAGCTATAATACGTCCTAAGCGAGTGGCAGGGGAAAAAATGTTGGACGATTCAAAAGTACTATTTTAATAA